GCAAGCATTTATGCAACGCCAAAAGGAACCTTGCTGTTGTGATCATGCAGGGGTGAGAACGATGTAAGTAACAAGCGCCCACAATACTTATACAGCGCTGATTCTAGGGCCACAATATATTGCTGAACTGTGACCGTAATGTAGCAGAGGTTGTCATTGAATGTTAGGAGAGAAACATTAAGTGTTGGGATAAGTTACAGCTATCCAAATTTCATTTAAGGCTTCAGGTGGTTTAGTAATCGACTTTTCTGCCTAGTAGCCCCTTTTAAGGCACCTGGTACGCCCTATACATCCCATGCACTTTTGGTCATTTTGAGGCACCATTTTCTCAGTGACTAGAAGGGATATTTACATAATCCATACATCATTTTCTTCCAAATTTTCTGTCCTTTTGATTGAAGAAGATTTATCAAAATCTGTCTAATAAAGAAATCTCTGTGAATTTTTTTACTCCTAAGACCTAAATTTTGAGTTAACTGGCATCTATGAAAGTTTGTAACACAAGAACTGTAAAGTGCATAATTTCAATTATGCTTCTGTAGCTGTATGTATTTATACAGAATACAAGAAAAAATAATCAACTTGCTGTCTTAGAGTCTTTAGTAAATAATGGTACCTACCGTATTTACTCACATAATGAATACACTTGCACATAAATGCACTCCCAACTTCATTCATCAAAATTTGGATTCTTTTTTATCCTGCGTAATAAACACACTTCCTAGATTTGTCGGCTGCAGTCCCGCTAGTTTACACCTGACGCCTCCTTGCCCGTTGGGTCTCTTTCATTTTTTATTATTATGCTAACCCCCCTCGGCCACCTCGCCTCGCTCTCTCCCCTTTTCGCCTGCTGCCATGCGCTGTATAATTTTTCTTTCTATCTGTGCGAGGCACGTACCCAGTCTTTTTTAAATATCTAGGCACCACAGCGGGGTTCACGAAACGATGTGAGTGTAGAGACATCACAGCTCACAAGCACACAGCGAGCGAAGGTCACGAAACTTCCCGCGTCAACCGGCGCTCATTTCGTGCAAATACGAAACCTAAACATCCAACCACATGCACATAATTTTAAAGCGGCGACGACGGCACGATTTGCTGTTGCAAAGGGCCAATCGTTGCCATTTCTTTCTGGTTTTAGAAAACCAAAAAGAAATGCCATATTTTGTCGTTAATCTTGTTATCGACAGTTTGTTTTGATGCTTCGGTGTTAGCTTGCTACAATGTCAACGGCATCGTCGCAGTTGTCATGCGAGGTTGCCACGAAGTTGGCAAAGTGCGTAGTGGCATCATAGCACACACTTCTGGGCTCTCCTTGAGATAACAGCAGATACCACCCTTGCGGTTAAACGATTGCGAGAAAAGATAGCCGCAAAACAGTTTTATGGGGTGCAGGGTTGGCGTGGGAAAAGCTAGCAGAAGATAGCGCCTTCAACCACCAAAGATGAGTGTAGTGCAACAAAAAAACCGAGCAACCTAACTCTTTTTTTTTTTGCATTACAGCATTTTTTTGCTCATCCCGAAAAAGTTTTCATAAAAATTGCCCCGCATAATAAACGCACCCCCAACTTTGCTCCCATTTTTCAAGAAAAAGATGCGTTCATTAGCGAGTAAATACGGTAAATGACAAAAAACATGGTTTTGTGATAATTGAGTTTAAAGTTGAAAAACGGCTGAAAAGCGAGCACATTTTGTCACCAAAACCGTTCAACTATTTTACTTAGTAGTTACAAGCTTGGTAATCATTGCCAAAGTCAATTTTTTGCTTTGGAGCCTCTTGTAATGCTTGCCTTGCTTCTTTTGTGAGCTTTTATGCGGCTATACCTGGAATGTATCATCGAGTAGGGTCAACGTTTTCCACTGAATTGACTGTAGTTTTGCCAGGCTTCAATCCTAACTATTTCAGCATTTACGCTTGTGCTATAGTACTACCACCATGATATGCAAGAACAATATCCAGTGTCACAATACTTGCCCCGCCGCGGTGGTCTAGTGGCTAAGGTACTCGGCTGCTGACCCGCAGGGCGCGGGTTCGAATCCCGGCTGCGGCGGCTGCATTTCCGATGGAGGCGGAAATGTTGTAGGCCCGTGTGCTCAGATTTGGGTGCACGTTAAAGAACCCCAGGTGGTCTAAATTTCCGGAGCCCTCCACTACGGCGTCTCTCATAATCATATAGTGGTTTCGGGACGTTAAACCCCACATATCAATCATCAATCAATCAGTGTCACAATACTTAAAGGGGCACTAAAGTCAAATAACAATTTATGTCAGAGTGAGAGCTCAATGTATGACATCTAAAACTACAATATTATCAACAACAGTGCCCCACTTACCAAGAAATTAAGGTAAATGCACAAGAACACAAGCGTCGTCGTAGGACATTTTCAAAACGATTCTGATGACATCAGACAAACCGCCTATAATTAATCACTATTAATTGACCTAACTGCACCAAATAAAGAACCTTCCGTGCATTAATAGATGCAATAAAATGCTGCTTGTTCGTTTCTGTTTGATTCATGGAAAAAAGAATCGCCACACGTTACTATGGGGAATGGCGTGAGTGGTTCGAAAATTCAACTTTTGCGCGGTTACATGGAACAGTTGGTGCCATCTAGCGGGGCGCAGTTGAACAAAAAACGTCTGCAATCTCGGAGACAATGATGGGAAATCGATCAATGGCCGTTGTTGCTGCTATGGTTCCCACTGCTTTTGGTCTGCTGCTACTAACGCAGTAAAGCTGGGCAACGTTGTGCACCGCAACAGTGACGTGAGACGGTCAGGTCGGTCCGCTTCTTGAGGCGGGTATTTTGAAATGCAGCAACCCGATGCGGACCACTAAAACGTGATTTTATTTTAAAATAGGCCCGCCCTTGGCACAAAAGTAACACTACAAGGTTTCTGGACTGCCATTTTAACAATCAATGTCCACCTAATAGTTGCCTTTAGTGTCCCTTTAAGATTCTGAACCTAAACAAAGACTCTGCGATGCAATTCTTTTTAACTCGACACTTTTGCCGGGCAGTTTGCTCGCGCTACTCGGCCTAATTGTATCACAGATAATAGTCATGTTCATTAGAACATAACCGTTGTCACACTGAACATGATTTGCCATGAAGGACGCTCAAAAGGCTTAGAGGTTCAACTATGAAGAGTTTGCTGGTTCAGCGTTCAGCTCCTCTACGTCACTGGCATTTATTCACATTTACAAGAGAACTGTATAGGTCACCCCAAGATTTACACTTGCTGAAGACATTCTTTTCGTTTAGCATCTCTTAGCATCTTAACTTATCGACAAGAACGAGAAAGACAAGGTGAAATGAAGCTAGGAGCTGAAAGTGTACGAACTAATGTACTCCAAAGAAGAAGTGTGGTTATGAAGGTGCAGAGTGTCGGCAAACTGCCTTAAAGTTACCTGACAATTTTCTGTACACATAATGACATGCTTTGGCCAAAGCATGTCATTAAGCAAGTACCAGCTAGGCCAATAATTATTATTGCTTCAATACACAGCTGAGTCTAGACTAGAATTTTGGTTTTCGTACATAAAGTTATTTTTCTTTTTAGAAAAATAGACTGTAAGCACAAAGCTCATACAAGGGGCTTGCCCTGGACATGTTTTTACTTGCTATTTACTTTTAAAAAAACTAGTCTTGAGCCACAAGAACTGCTGTTTAAGAAAAGCACGAATGTGGTAAATATGTACAAAGCAACACCCTTTCTAAATGGCAAGAAAAAATAGTGATTTTTTTTTTTTTTTTCAAATTTTGCCCTATCCGTGTTCTTAAAGGGTTGTAAGGGCACCATTAGAGGATCATTTTATTAAAATAATTTTTCAAGCCTGTTCATCATTGAAGGAGTTCGAACAAATAGAATTTGGATGCTTACCAGTATTTCTTATTGTAAGAGCTTTAGGTGGTAAAATACGTCGCATGTCACTCATCGTCTATTCCCAATATTATTCCTGGTTTCAGAGTTTCAGATGCCTCTCAACTGTCATTACTAGGCTTGTGCAAACATTCAAACGCTTTGAATATACGAACAAATATTTCAGTATTCGAATTTGCTTCGATTCGAAATAAAATTATACGACATTTTGAAGTACTAGAAGCGAACAAATAGATGTATATTAATGCACATGTAACCCCCGTAAAGGTGGTTTCACTGCAGTGAAGCGGTGCTACTGCATGAAAACATTTCATATTTACTTCTTTGTAAAGGTCGTTTCACTGTAGTAAAGAAGTGCAAAGCCGTGAAAACACCTATCAAGGGGAAATTCGAGTTGTCGCGTAGTTTCACTTCAAGGTTAAATGAACATATCATTCTCACATATATTCATCATTTCTTAAGTTCATATTCTTACTATACCAGTTTATATTCTTTAAGTATAATAAATTTGAAAACGTAACATACATTACAGATAATCACTTGCATTCCACTGGAAGTCCAGCCCTGCTACTATTCAATGTAATTTCCACTTCCTTTGGACCAAAAAGAATGGCATTTGTACAGGCCTTGTTTCAATTTAAAATATATATATTGTGCAGGTTAGTTGGGTCGGGACAAATATGGTAATTTTTCTTTATAATGTGTGATATATACTATTCAAACTCAAGTTACTTGAACCAAATCACTATTCGCTTTGAATTCACCTTGAACCAAAAATTTACTATTAGCACAAGCATAGTCATTACTCTTATTTAATTTTTTTGTTGGTGTATATATATACACTTCAATTAAAACATTACAGTGAATTGAAGCCTTGTGTGCATAACTTTTTTTTTTCTGAACACTAGGATAGTCATAAAATCGTACCAGTACTTTTTGTAACCAAGTAGCAGATGAGTTTTAATTTTGATATGAAGGGGCAGTCTCACCTACACTAGATTTTATACATCCTTTGTTTTTACTCTCTCTCTCTGCAGACTATTGTAGCATTGTGGGCATTTTCATAAATTGCATTAGGTTTTAATGCTTCTTTCTCGTCTTCATTCTTCAGAAAAGCGTGACAGAAGGAAGAAACCAGACGAGAGCGCCACTATGGAGGTTTTAGGAGCTGGGGATTCGACCAAGGATACACCAGAAGCAGTGCAAGAAAGAACAGACGACAGTTGTAAAGCACAAAATAATGACTAAGCACACTTTTGGTAGCACTTGCAACATCTCTTTGTTGTGGCCTTTCTTACTTGATTGGGACCAGATATCGTAACACAAAGACTTGCTCCATGCTATTCCACAGTGCTTGACATTTTTCATGTAAAGTCTTTGCATAAAATAATTTGATTACCATTTTTCTGGCAAGCTTGCCTGCTTTTAATAAAAGTTTGTGGCATTATTCTTGACCACAGATTATTTCACTGCAAAAGAATGTTTCCAAAATTTAAAGCTCAATGCAAAATTACTTGGAAATGATTCATGCATACAAAACTTAGTAATATATTATCAAATTGAAGAAGAGACATTTGAGTTAAGTGACGCCACAATTCAAAGAGAGCAATACATCGATGTGACCTTGTAGACATGGACAGCAGGTGTGCCATTTGTCTGTGTAATAGTTCATGCAGTGCCACCAAATGCGAGGCTGGCTGGGTGGCTGTACTTGACATTTCCTTACTTCATTGTGTAGAAGAAAAGCTGCGCAGCTGCCAGAAAATTGAGTTGGGTTGCATCATTTTTAGTTCGTAGCAAACAAAAGGTGGGAGATGTAAAAGTGAGGTATGAAACAGGAAAGGTTGCCAAAGAAAACAAGCAAGCTTAAAATTGAAGCGACAGGCAGTACCACTTCCACTAGTGCCATTGGACCTTTCATTTTAGTATCATTCGATTCATTTGTGTTTGCTGCTAAATTTGTGCATTTGTTGAGCTCAAAGAAACAATATGTAGGGTGTGTGCACTGATGTCTAAAGTCGTGGCTGCATATTGCTCTGATCTCTAATAAATATGCATTGTTGGAAAGGATTGTAATGTTGAACATTTGTCTCTGTGTTGTGACGAAGGTGAGGTGTTGCCAAGACCCATATTGTCAAATAAAAGACATGATTCAAACAGTTACCCAGATTCTGTCTGGCATCCTTAAGCTATTCGTGCCTAAATATTAGAAGCCTCCTTATAAGCGAAAATCACAGGAAAATCACACACTAGTTCTTTATCCGCAATAGTTGCTAAGCCTTGCAAAAAATTTAGAAAATAAGGAAATTAAAAAGTTTAAAGGGAGATATGATTTTAAAAAGAAAGTTGCGTTAATCTGTAGCCTAGAACAATAAAACTTTTGCTACATATGTAGGCTTGTATGCTGATTTCAAATATGTAATTTGTTTTATAGTAAGTTGCACAGTTCTAGTTTTATGCCATGACAATGTGTGAATTAATGGCTTTGTTTCGGCAAATGCTTTCTGCCAATAAACTTTTATGGTTCTGAGCCACTAATGGCTTATATTGCTCTACTTTGACTGTTAATGCAAATAACTATCAATAAAGTGCATATAAAATATTTTAATAGACAAAAAAATTGTAATTTAGAATTACTAAATTTGTGAAAGCCAATAAAAATACAAATATGTAATTTTGGAAAACTCTTCCCTTTTCCGATTCTCATCTCCCCTTTTAAGAAACGAAGTCTTTATATAGAATTTCAACCCAGACTTTCTAGCATAGAAACCTAATACTTTAAGCATTTTGCCATGAATGTAAGCATGGATAGGTAGAATAGAACACTCTTAAAGGCCAACTCTGGCGATTTTTCGACCATGTCAAGGTAATGGTGTTTATATGTTCCTGAGACACTCTTGTCATGAGCCCAATAGCTGAAATGCTCAGGAAGTTCGAAAATAATTTTTAATAAGCAAAAATGTGGAAAACCAAAACCTGACCGGGCACAATGTCTACGTATGACATACTATTTGGCAAGAACTGGAGGACGTATACTGGTCCCGTCGGCGCGTAGTATGAAAACTGTGAAAACCAAGCCAGCGAAGCACTGGCGAAACACCACAGAGGGAGGAAGACAGCATTCCGAGGTTATACCCGTACCAAACACCGTCACCTTGTGGCCAGCACAATAAATGCTGTAGCGGCCAAAGTATAGATACCATTGGCGCCGTCACTTCTGTTGACACGCCAAACATGTTGTCACACAGACAGTATTGCCAATAATTCTGGTAAGTGAGGTGAGCTTCTCGAGGCATTCTTTAAAATTTGTTTCCAAATAATCAACGCATTTCTTAAACCTGTAATTTGGTATAAATTACAGAAATGTGCAAAGGAACGTACGCAGCGAATTTCATTGAGATCAATTGACCTCGAAAAATAGCCGGAGTTGGCCTTTAAAGGGACCAACAACTGCCCAGAACATGAAATGAGATGACTGGAACGATGGAAAGATTGTCCCTTGTAGTGACTCAAACAAATCCTGTTTTTCTCGTGAGAAGTGGATTTTTATTTATTCATTGAAAATCGCGAAAAATGGCCTGTGGCGTCTCAGTGGCAAAAAAACTATCATGAATGCCTTGTCGTGTGAGCATGTGTTAATGTACACGGTCAACAATTTATTGATTAGTACTGAAATATTGTTTGATTCTTTATAGCAAAAGATAATATTTTATAAAAGTATAAGCTTGCGTTAGTAGTACGCATTAAAGTGGCGCTGCTTTTGCGTGACGTATGCACACTTTCGTTTTCAATTACTTGGCTTGGCGACGCGGCACAAATGCAGGGAAGCTTTATAGAGCTACACCATCTCATTGTAATGGCTTGTTATTTTCAAAAATAGTAGTAAAGCACAGAATAAATGTGGTTAAGTATAGTTTCAGGAAATCCTGCGATATAAGAACAACGAAGGCATGCATAAGCCACCAGAAAGGCTACCAATATTGCTATCAATACTCAGTGTTGCCCGATGAAAAGGCACTACCGTGTTCAGAGCCTTTCAGATCGAAAAATACTACTTATAAAATGACTACGAGCTCTTGGGATTAAGTACTGCAGCTACGATCACTACGAAGGGTAAGCTTTCTGTCGCGCAGGAAAAAACTGGATCGAAAAAAGTCAGTTGTCGGTCCCTTCAAGAATTTTTCATGTGCATGTTGAGACACCTGATATATTTTCATTTTGCCATGGACCTCTGGGTGCAAGCAGCTCGGCGCCACGTCTGCATTTGGTTTGCAACAATTAACACAATGTTTTTGTGGTATCAATGGTAGTCCAATCGATGATTTGAAGCAGAAAAAAAAGTCATAGCTTTGCTGCAAATGCAAAGCAATGAACACGATAGCAACAAATTGGAAGGTCACGCGACGAATGGCAAGCAGATCGAAATGTGCCCCACGTTTATCCCACACAAATGACGCATGAAACGTACTCACAGGTACAGATGAACGCGAATAAGCATTTCAGTTGGTACTTCACTGTGTCTGAAAGCACACCCTTTTCGCAAACGGGGAATGCAATGATTGCAGTGACCTTTGTGCGTCCGGTAACTACAACAGAATCGTTCTAGTGAAAGCCCAAGGCCAGCCAAAACGTGCGATCCTCCTTGACGCGAGATAAGGCTGCGCGAGTGAGCGTCCACTCCCCTCCTATCTGTGGGGCAAAGTACGTGTGGGAGATGAGAGCGCGCACCGCCGCGTATAGGTGTTCTCTGGCTGTGTCGTGGTAATGTGGCGACGCTAGGGCTTTAGGCGACACACATCCATTGCGCCATCTTGCTGGTAATACTGAAAACACGATATTTCCCCTGTAGATGCCCGTCTTTAGTGGTAAGGGGTAGATATAAATAGCTTGATTTTTGAACACTGAAGGAGGTGCTTCTTCGTAACTCAGTGGTTAATGTCTCACACTTCAGTGGTCCCACGTTCAATTCCGCTTTTAGGAAAATTATAGCTGCGCTAAAAACTAGACACAAGAACGAAGTGAACAGGACGATCGCAGACTAAAAACAGTTGTTAGTGTCCTATCCACTTCGTTCTCGTATCTCATTTTTAGCCCAGCTGCATTTTTTCTAAACGTTTTACCAACTAGCCCTCCTCATACGCTTCTAGAGTGTGATTCCGTGCGCTGGAGTCTTTCTTGGATAATTTTTTTCTTATATATATATATATATATATATATACATATATACACGGTGGAGTGACGCCGATGCTAGTGGCAAAATACAGTTGAGAGTGTCCATATAATTGCTGTCGCAATAAAATGCAAAAATGAAACATTGTGGCAAAATTTTTAGATGTATATATGCCAGAAAAATTTCAATATTATTTAACTTCGAACACCTTTGCATAATATGTATACCAAATTTGGTATTAAGTTAATAAATCATCCTCAGAATAAATTTTGTGACAAAATTAAGCAAAATTTGGAAGGCTCCCATTTGACTACATTTTTTTTCTCTTCAATATATTCTAGCAGTCCACTGTTTTCAATACAATAAATCAGAATTACTTTTTTCCAAACAGGTAAGATAGCTGCTGGGATGTTTGTTGTGAAATGACCCAAATATGTTTTGTTGAAAGTGCGTCTTCAACAAACATCACAGAAGTGGACGATAAACTACACACAAAGACGAGCACTGTTTGTCGAAGTTTGAGTCAAGTTTGAATGAGACCTCAGGGATGCCCAACTGGAATTAGTTGAACACTTCTGGCACAATGAAGGATACTTTTCCAGAAAATGCAGTGCGGTGCAGTTCAGGTTACCATAAAAAAGATTCAGTCGTGTCAAAAGTATATAAAAAGGTTCTGGAAGAACACGAAGTCCAGATATTTCCCATAAAAACGACAACTTCGTTATGCTGAAATACTGCAAACAGCTTATCCAAAATATATGTTAGTTATCTACCATTGTTAATTTCTATCAAGTGCTGCCGAATCTGAAAAATTAAGTAAGTTGTCACAACTGTGCTATGTTACATCAGAATATATGGTTTGATCACAACAAGCCATAGTGCAACGAAGACCAAGTCATGCACAAGGACACTGATTGACCTTGTGCAAGGTCTATGTCTGTTTTCTATTTATGTGTCTATGTATAGTGGTGCGCACGCACCACTATACCCATGGTGCGCCCAGTACCCATGGTATCCAGTATACCCATAGTAACCAGTACCCATGGTGCGCACGCACCATGGGTACTGGACCACCTGGTGCTGAGCCTTGCAGAACCTATGCAAGCTGTATTAGCCATGGGGGGCCATACAACATGGTGCTGGGTCACACTCATGTTTACCCAGGTGAGTATATTTCAGAGCTAAAAAGCAGAGCAGGGCCTCTCAAGTATGCTTTTCACAAGGCCGATACAGAAAAGTGCGGCAGCCAGAAAAAGTATCACATGGACATTATCTTAAAAATGGTGACGAATGCCGTGTTTTCACAATGCTATGCAACCCCCATTTCTAAGCACCACCCCTGTTTTCACAAGGAATACAGTCAACATTCGATTTTCTGGACGCCAGCAATTCCGGCCATGCCTGATTCCCTGGACTTATCTCCAGCACCATCAAGTTCTCTGTAGAGTCAATGTACTAAATAGTCCGAAAAATCGGATGGCGAATGCTGTAGTTATCCGAAATATCAGACTTTTTATTGCTAACCGCACACTTAAAGTCACCATCAACACCGCAATTTCGGTTTTCGTATCCTCGAACCCACCATTCTCTCATCGTTCGCGTACCGCGTCGCGGCTGCCATACCCTCGAAATGGCAACTGACTCAATCCAGCACACGCCATTTCATTGCCCGCCGTAGCATAGTCATCAAACCTGTGGTCAATCCTCACTATTCGTTCACGTGTTGTTCTGTCATCTATGCACCAGATTGTGTGCTGCTGCATGCCATCTTCAGCATTCATGTTTCCTCATCTTCTGCAGCCATAGAGTTTCTAGCTGTGTGGTGCTACGGTTTTCGTTGAGCGAATTCGCCGAGGCCGCAGAGTGGATGCGTGTGTGACAAACTTCTATCCACAGAGGTTACCTTCGATGATCTGCGCGCTGCCGACGTGTTGACACCAGCCGCAATAACCTTTGAGTGCTTTGCCGATGCTGACAAAAACCTTGAGCTGTA